CATCCATCCATCATCCATCCATCATCCATCCATCATCATCCATCATCCATCCATCATCCATCCATCATCCATCCATCCATCCATCCATCATCATCCATCATCCATCCATCATCATCCATCATCCATCCATCATCCATCCATCATCATCCATCATCCATCCATCATCCATCCATCCATCCTTCATCCATCCATCCATTATACATCGATCCATCCATCCATCCATCAATCTAACATCCATCATCCATCCATCCATCATCATCCATCATCCATCCATCATCATCCATCCATCAATCTAACATCCATCATCCATCCATCCATCATCGTCCATCATCCATCCATCATCATCCATCATCCATCCATCATCCATCCATCATCATCCATCGATCCATCCATCCATCCATCTAACATCCATCTAACATCCTTCATTCATCCATCATCCATCCATCAATCTAACATCCATCATCCATCCATCCATCATCATCCATCCATCATCCATCCATCATCATCCATCCATCATCATCCATCCATCCATCATCATCCATCCATCATCCATCCATCCATCATCCATCCATCCATCATCCATCTAACATCCATCCATCCATCATCCATCTAACATCCATCCATCCATCCATCCATCCAACATCCATCCATCATCCATCCATCCATCCATTATACATCGATCCATCCATCCATCCATTCAACAGCCATCCATCCTTCATCCATCCATCCATTATACATCGATCCATCTAACATCCTTCATTCATCCATCATCCATCCATCCATCCATCAATCTAACATCCATCAAACGTTTTGAGTTTTAACAGGAAGCAGCTTCTCAGACTCCTGGATCCAGAGTCTCCTTCAGCGTGAAGCTCGGGGAGCCGTACCTGGAGGCAGAAGAGTCCAATGGAGTAGATGACGTAATCCTCTCTGGAGGCGCCGACGGCCGGCAGCACCGACGCCATGTTGTACACCCCGAGACAGAAGAAGAGCAGGAAGCCCAACAGATGGCTCCAGATGTTCACCGTCTCGTTGGACAGGATGAAGAGGCTGCACAGGAAAAAAAAATTAATTTATTCTTCAGAAAAACTGCAGATCTGTGGCTTAAACTGTGTCTAAAGGTGCATTTTACCGTTACACTGCAGTTAAAATAGCCTTTTCTAAAAAAAGGCAACATGATATCTACAAGTTAAGATGGTAAAGAACTTGTAAACAAACAAACAAACAAACAGGAAGCTCGTCACCTTTTGATGCAGAGTCTGGACGGCAGGTAGGCCCGGTACCCGTCTGTGATGTACGGATTGTCCCGGATGAAAACCGGGATCTGTTCATACGTGTACAGCCGGATCCCTCGAGGCACCAGAACCGGCCAGTACTGGTAACCTCCCAGCTCGATGTAGTGTGTGGTCTGAGGGTTCTTCTGGGACACGTCCAGGTCCGCTTTACTGGGACCTGAAGCTGAATGCAAACAACTCATATTTACGTCAAATTTACGACTCTTTAATAAACCTTTATATTTGTGTCCCTGCTCAATGTCTTTCAAGGTGATTTAAATTATTTCTATTAAATATTTTAGTCACTACCTGTCAGTGTCGATGAAATAAAAGCCGTTTTTAAAAATGACCATTTTCTGACTAAATTATTCTCTAGTTCGACACCATTAAAAACTTGCATTTTACATAAGTTACATACATTGTATCTGCTTTTCAAACTCATTGTCTTCTGTTTCAAAGATGTCATAGTATAATTTCTACAATGTCTGTGTTTTCTTTTATATTTTTATTGTGCAGCCCATCTGTTAATGTTTAAAAAAATTCATTTTGAAATATTTCTTGATTAAATAAATCATTCTGCAGCTTATAGTTTCTAAAAAATTACAAACTTAAACACTCCTTATAGCTTTTATGAACCTTTCTGAGTTAAAAGAACAAACAATAACATGATAAATACTTTAATTATAATAAACTAACATGTACTAACAGGAACAAGTTACAGTAATGTCCTCCTCAGACTAATCTTCCACCTAATCTCATAATTAAATTGTCTCCAGTTCACCTTCATTGCTCTGCTTGTTAATAAAAAAAAGTCTGCTGAGTTTATAAATCGTTAAATATACCCCGGTATGATTTACTATTTTACGTTAACAGACTCAGAGTAAATAAAAATCGTAGCTAATTACGTTGGTGAACTGTTTTCACCGAATATTTTTAAAACACAAACCTGTTCATTCATTTTCTGTAAGCCGAATATATCTTAAACATCAACTGAACAATAATCAATTACATGTTTAACTCGCTTTTTAAAATTACACGTATTTTAACCAAGGCAACTTTAAACGAGTTGACTATTCAAAGCAGTTTCGGCTTCTAGATGCCAAGTACAGAACAGGGTAGTTAGCATAGTTAGCATGTAGCTTTGTTTGTAGCCAGTAAATAAAACAACAAACTCACCCTTTAACTTCGTGTATGAGTAGTTTGAGCCATTTTGAGGCTTAAAATACGCGCTACGCATTGTGTTAACATTAATTTGAAGCGAAACGCAGAATTTGGTTTTACGTTTCAGCTTCCACTGTCATTTTCCGAGACGTGATCAATCAGGACCCCATAGGTGCCCAAACACTGCCTGAGTAAAAACTAATAAAACTCATCCTTGAGAATGCACGAATTTTTACGTTTTACACAACGCACACAAAATAAAATATACATATTGAAAGACTATTCTATTATTCATAACAGGAACAATGATATTTTACTGTAATTTTTCAATAAAAGCTGATAAATTACATGTTTTGTAAAGTTTTTTAGGCTAAGACTTTATAATTCCAACTAACCCAAATCTTAAACTTTAGAATTTTTTTTACTCTTTCTCAAATTAGAATTCACTCATATTCAACTAAAGTTGTTTAAAAACAGAAAAGGTAATTCATGAAAACGTATCTAATTTTACTGGGAAAATAGTTCACATTAACAGGTGTCCATTACACTAATCCACAAATCCTTAAACATATTAAAGGGTTTTAAATCTGTTAAAGGGTACGGAGCCTGCGAGGGGACATGGGAGATTCCTTTTCTTTTGCGTTCCCACACAATAGTATTGTGTTACCTCGCAATACCTTTTGAGTTCCCTCGCAAAAGAAGTTTATCACTGTTGTGCTGCCGTTTTATTAGCAAACTCGCACGTTCACCATTAGCGAGTTAGCCTACTGCTTTAACTCAGCTTCAGAATGAATATATCACACAGCCACGCATGGAAGTATGTCATATGCAGATATTGTGTTGTGGCTTTTTGTTGTTGTGTTTTTAATTTTTTTTATTTTTTATTTTTTTTGTGGCTTTTGCATTCTATTGAACCTTCGGGGCCACTGTAGCTATTTTAACACAGTACAGCCACTCAACATCAATGTCAATTTCACGAACTTGTGGCAACACATCCTGTTTTGGTAACCGTATATTTCAAAATAAAAGTCTGATTTGATTCAGTTCATATGCAAAACAATCTTTTGCATGGGAACGCAAAACAATATTTCGAGGTAACGCAAAAGTATTGCGAGGTAACGCAAAAGTATTGCGAGGTAACGCAAAAGTATTGCAAGGTAACGCAAAAGTATTGCGAGGTAACGCAAAAGTATTGCGAGGGAACGCAAAGGTATTACATGGGAACGCAAAAGGAAAAAAATCCCCCCCATGTCCCCTCGTGGGCTCCGTAAAAGGGAGCTAACCTTGATCCATCAATTTTTTTCTGGGCATTTTATTGAAGTCCACCCAGTGGCTCATGAGATATTTTGCTAACAGAGTTACATGACCATTAGCATTCATAAAAGTAAAACACTGAGATGACTCAAGACTTTTGAACACAATAACTGATATAATTTCAGCCTCCTGACGCTCTGAGCGCTCGTCTCCCTGCAGACCTCTCAGGTGTGAGATGTTGGTGGATCCCCTCAGGAGGAAGTCTCACCCCCCCTCCCCCCCCTCTGCTGTTTACACCCCCGTCTTTAATTGCCTCATTTTCGAGTGGAAGTGTCTTCTTCATTATCACTTCTAATGCACCTCTCAGCACATCCTGTTTGGCACCGTGTCAGAGATGGAAGGAGCTCCGAGTCCACGCAAACGTTCCTCTCATCACTCATGTCGCCTTGGAGCAGCTTTAACACACACCTTTAACACAACATGATGCTTTTAAACGTGGCGCAGCATCATATATATTAAAAGGAGTGCACCGGTGCAGATTTGTGTTTCTTGACGACCCTGACAGTCCCAAAGGACACTGGTAGCCTGCAGGGCTTGTCTGGCTCCATTTAAACCAGTTTAACATGGCCGTGTTTGGAAAGGGACTGAGTTTATAGAACAGGACGACGAGCAGCTGAAATCAGAAACACGTTTTGTTCTGAACAACGGTCATGGCTAAAAGTTGACATTTAGGCTTCAAAACAGCAAACCAGTTAGTATTCCTTAAATGAATATATTGCTTCAATTTTACAGGTTTGCTGTTTGATTTTGAAGTTAAAGACTCTCAGCTACTACCGATATCTGTCAAGTTTACTGATTTGTAGCCATTTTTACACAAGCTAAGCTGGAGATGTTGCTTTTAAGTGTCAACGTTGGTGGGCTCAGCTAACCAAAAAGTTAGCTTCACTAACCGCTAATCACGAATTTTAGGTCCGCTTAAGCTAAACCGATAAAAAAATAAAATAAAACTAGTGGAAGCTAACGCTAACCACTAAGACAGCTGTCAGTATTCAGTTGTAATATTGTTACGTTGTTTTATTTCTTTTTGACGCTCTTGGTTTGCAGTTTAACTGCTAACGATGCTACGTGCTACACACACCGTGCCAGCACTGCTTGTACGGGGGGGATTATTTTTTTTATTTAATTTTGGATAAAAGGCATTAAAATCAAAATTTTAGTGGACTTAAAATTAGCAGAACCTAATTTAGCGGGCACTAATCGGTCCGAAAACGGGTTCCAAAGTTAAAAAGCCAATCCGCTAAATGTGAAACTAGTTAGCGGATTAGCAGACCCACCAAAGAGTCTTAACGTTTGTCCAGTGGTCCACAATATTTTGCTAACAGACAGGGTTGGCCTCATCATTTAGTCATCAGAGAGAGAAATTTTATCTGATTATCTGTCAAACTGACACTTATTGCTGTTCTTGTGTTTGCTAGGATCAGCTAGCTGCAGCAGCCATCTTGAATCAAATTAACTAGTTGTAGATGATTATTACTTCCTGAGAGTTTAGCTTGAATCCATCCAGTGGTTCATGATATTTTGCTAACACAAACTAACTCTTTCATATAACCCTTAGAGTGAAAGTTGGAGATCAGTCTCAGTTACTACCACACCAAATTTTAACTGATGATCTGTGAAACTGACGGAGTTACTGCTGTTTTTTTGTTCACTAAGATCTGTTAGCTGTGGCGGCCATCTTGGATCGAGCTGACTCAGCTGTAGATGAAGGATGATTACTTCCTGAGACTTTGATTTAATTTCATCCAGTGATATATTTTACTAACAGCTTCTCTTTTCTTCGGGGCGAACGTCACTCGTGGCAGGTTTCCGGCGCCACAGTGTCAGGACGAGACAGGCCGTTTGCGAGGCCGATGCGTCCTCGCGGCGGCCGGCTGGTCTCTTTGGCTTTATTTATAGTCGGCGCCACGAGACATCTGCTGGAGACGAGACTGTGTCCTGTGTGTCCACACAGCACGGCACAGAGGGAGAATGTCAACGCTTTCCTTTCTTTTTTTTTCTAAAGGGGAGAGTGTTTGTGAGGACCACGGACAGAGGAGGGAGACGCGTCCTCCAACAGGACGGGTGTCCCCTTCCATCGCCGTCTCCCTCCTCTGATTAACACGACCGGAAGACAGAGGGAGGCTTCACAGTTTGTTGCGTCCAGCGCGTTAGCCGATGTTTACTCGATCTGAGAGCTGTTGTTTGTTTGGTGTCTTCAGTCTGCTCGTCGCTCGTCACTGTTTCAGGACACTGACACCCCCCCTCCCCGGTGTCACACGGAGTTTCTCTCCCGTCCTCCTCACATCGAGGACGTCTGCGAACGAGCTTCAGGCCTTGACACAAAGCGCCGGGGACAGCTCAGAGCTCGTCCTGCAGAGTGGCGGGGGGCTCAGTCCGCCACGGAGAGGAGGAGGAGGAGGAGTGTGAAAACCTTCAGCTGATGTGTTCCTGGAAAGAACCGGACGAAACACCACGGTTCAGAACGGAGGAACCCCGACAGTCCTCCATGACGGCTCTGTTAGGAAAATATCTCAGGAACCACCAGACGGATTTAATGCAACGAATCATCAAACTGCATCTCCTGCAAAAAACGCTGAAAACTTCAATGAGCTGAAAATATTTAACAGAAAAAGTTCATGTGAAAAGCTAAAGAAAAGCTGAAAGAAGCAAAAAAGCCGAACTTTACAGAACAACAGTAAAAAGAAGCACAAATCTAGTTGAAAAACAACAGCTAAAAGCTACTATTTAAAACAGCTGAATGTAGCTGAAAACATCAGTAATAAGAAGATAAACAGCTCCAGGCAGCAGAAAAAACAAAATATAGAAAAAAGCAGAAGAACAGCAGAAAGAAGTAGATCTATAGCTAAAGTAGCATAAAATAAGCTAAAGGTAGCAGCCATGATTTGAAAACAGGATCCAGTTGAAGTTGAAAAATAGTTAAAACAGAAAAAGAAATCTTAAAATTACATAAAAGTGATCATTTGTAGTAAAATAACGAAAACAGCTGAAATTTTAAAACAGCTAAAAGAAGTAGCTGGAAATTCTTTAATTAGCAAAAGGAAGTTTGCTGAACTTAGCTGAAAAAATTGCAATCGCTACAAAAATGTGTATTTAGCTTAGAAAAGATAACTTTAGCTAATATTAGCTAAACCTTAGCTAAACTTTCAGCAAATAGATGAATATAGCAGAAAGCATCTGTAAGAAGCAGAAAAATCCATCCATCCATCATCCATCCATCCATCTGTCCATCATCCATCCATCCATCCATCCATCATCCATCCATCCATACATACATACATACATCCATCATCCATCTGTCCATCATCCATCCATCCATCCATCCATCCATCCATCATCCATCTGTCCATCATCCATCCATCCATCCATCCATCCATACATCCATCCATCCATCATCCATCCATCTGTCCATCGTCCATCCATCCATCCATCATCCATCCATCCATCTGTCCATCCATCCTTCTGTCCATCATCCATCCATCCATCTGTCCATCATCCATCCATCCATCCATCCATCATCCATCCATCTGTCCATCATCCATTCATCCATCCATCATCCATCCATCCATCTGTCCATCCATCCTTC